CTCTCATCTTTTTAAGTGGGAGAACTTGCACAATTGGTGGCTGACTAAATACTTTTTTGCCCCACTGTATAGTTGTTGATTCAATCACAATGAATGTAATCTTTATATTGTTCCACAGTGTCAGTTAAAAGGTACCACTGCTCTTACCTACCAAGCAGCAAAATTCTTTTAGGACCTTTTAGGACAGAACTGAATATTTATATAAGAGGGTTGTTGTTGGTCTTGTTAATTTACCCATGGTTTACTCAATTAACTTTCATCCTAATCATATGGGCTAGTTCACACAATACACTAGGAGTGAATGCTCTGTATTTTTTTTTTAAATCTCTTAATGTAATGTGTTTTAACTGAGCAACTTTTGAGGCTTTGATATATACCATCAAATTTCCATGGGATCGTATTCTTCCTAATTTCTTAGACACACAGTGTTTTGCCTTTAAATCATCTGCTGAAGCAAACTTTTTTGGGACATATCCATTGCAAATTAAAATAGGCTAAAATAATATCAAAAGTTCACTAGGTTCATCATTATGACCTTGTATTCAATCAGTTAAGTCTTAACTACCTGAACCATTTAATCATTGTGGAATATGGGCTCATTACAGGTAGCTGACATGGCTTCAGTATTAATTCCTTCTAATCTGATTTAATAGTTCAAGTTCTATGTTTTACGAGTATTTATGAACAGAGAACCTGAAATAACCTCCATCCTATATTGTAAAATTTCTATAATGTCAAACATCTTTATCACTCCCAAGGCAGGTAAATTCGTACCCCCAAATATCTCTTGCCAAAAGTCTCTCATCATGGAAATGTGTTCTATGATCAAAGAACCTAATATGTTCCAATTGGCACCATCTGTGTAGTCAGCTGTTTGCTTCCTATATGCTTCACTCCCTTCCTGGATCACTTTCTTTGACAAGAAGGAGTGAAGAAACCACATGTGCTTTCAGCTCCTCCACTGTCCTGGAGCATTTAATAGTCTTCATGGCTGGTATCTGGATGTTATTTTTTCCCCATATGGAGCGGTGGAATGGGATATTTGTCAGTGGGCTTAAATAGGCTAAGAAGCTTTTCTTTTAGCGACGGCAGACATTTTTAGAAATTAAAATCTGTTAGGTGAAATCCTCATTTCTGAACAAGAGAGGGGCAGGTCTTTTTCTGACTATTTTCTAAGTTTCACAGCCATGTGAAGCTCCCATACTTGATCACTCATGCAGCTCAAACAGAAGGCTCATCCATGTTACATATTTCTAATGTACTATAAGCTTTTACAAAACTGATGCATAAATCATAGCCATGATGACTTTTACTTTACAGCTGCTCTGAGCCAGAAGCAACAGTGGAAATGAGTAGAATAGGCTGTCTTGAACCAAACATTTCTAAAGCTTAGCACAATGCCAAAAGCTAGGTAGCTGCACTGCATTTCTGAAATGCTTTAGATATTTCCAAAACAGATCACAATGTCTTTCCCTTTCCTTCAGCTCAGGCACAGGAGACAAACACATGATGGTTGAGTGAGACAAGAACAGGCTCCTGATTTGATAACTCTGAACACTTTTGACAATTCAACATAACTGAAGCAGCAATTATCAGTGGCTAATGTGGTCACTTAATAATGAACAAAGCTAAGACAGATTCACATTCATCATCAATAGAATCCAGAACCATAAACAGGCATTGTATATACTGCTCATGGTAATCTTTAAAGACACTTACAAAATGAAATACTTTAGGTGTCTTTACTTGGACAGCTATGCCACCATGCAAATAAGGTTCCATATCTGCAGTATTCCCAATGCTGAAGGAGTAAGGTGATATCACTGAAAGAGAGAGAAACAAAGTTGGAGGAAAATGTTATCTTCCTTATTTTGGCAATCTTAAATAAAAGGAAAAGGAAAATGTTTATTTCATATAGTCCTACAAATCTAGTTTAACTTTTATAGTTTTACAAGAAAGTAACGCAGTTCTGAACCTAATCAACCCATACGATGGTAAGCTAATTCTCTATCATATATAATGATATAAAGATGGAACAGATCTGCAAAGTAGTGAAATTCTACTCTATAACTATTAAAAGAACTACTGTATATAATAAGCAGAATGAGAAAATATTTAATAGTAGTGTGGAGAACTCACTGGTTTGGAAATGGAACATTCCAGATAAACCTTCCACAGACCATGTTGTTCCAGAGTAGTTTGGTGGTTTTTCTGAAAATAAATCCTCTAAACCTGAAGCAAGGGACACGGTGGCACAGAGGCTTAATGACGCTGGAAGTTGCCAGCTAGAAATGGTCAGCACTTCAGTGGTTTGAGCCCAAGGTCTGCACAGCGGGGTGAGCTCCCATCTTGTGCCCTCAGCTCCTGCCCACCTAGCAGCTCGAAAGCGTAAGCGAGTAGATAAATAGGTCCCCTCCCCCCGGTGGGAGGAAAAAACGCTGGCGGCGCCTTGCACGGGAAAACGGGAATCAGTTGCCGGTTGCTGGACGCAACGCAACAGAAGAGATCTGATTTCCTGCGACCGCCAGATGGGCTCCGCCCTAGGAAGGAGGCAATGGCAAACCACTTCTGAAAAAACCTTGCCAGGAAAACCTCAGGGGCTCAACCAAGGAGTCCCCCTTAGAACAATCAATAATGGAAACCAAATAAAAAAAAAACCTGAAGCAGCTTGAGGTGTTTTGGGCATGGCATTCCAGACAAAACTGGCCTGTCCATGCCTAAT